GACAAAATTGACTAATGGCTCTTAAAATTCAATTAGGGTGTATTAAATAAATATTCATCATCTGTGGCAAGCTTTATTCCAGAAATTACATTGTTATTTGTTCGCTTGCTTATTTTCTGCAAAAATACCAAATATGGCCACTTATTTTTTTTTTTTTTAAATAAATTAAGTTTTAAAACCAAGAAACAGTCAAGATTCATTTGAGCTTTGCCTGTTTCACTTTTTTTGTGTGTGCATGCGTGGGTTTCCGTAACATTTACATTTTGGAAAATGCAGGCTGAGCTGGCAAGGAAGATGACCAGCCTGGCTGATCAGACAGCTTTGGCTTGAGCACAGAGGAAAAAAGAAAGTGCATCACCTTTGAAAGAAGGGGCAAGCAACTGGGGAGGACTGCAGGGCTGTTGGGAGGTTACACAGGGACAAAACTAGAAGGGCTAAAGCCCAACTAGAACTTAGTCTTAAAACTACTGCTATAAAAGACAACATAAAATGCTTTTTGCAAATACGTCAGCCATGAAAAGAGGGCCAAGGAGAATCTCCATCCTTTACTGGATGCAGAAGGAAACACTGTGACAAATATTGTGACCCAAGGCCCAGAAAAGGAGCCCACTTCTGGCAGGGTTCGTGACCTTGGATAATAGCCTTGTTGACTTTTCTCTTCAGCAGGCCAGTGGGCATTCAGTGGTAGGACAAGAGAGAAGGCTTTAAACTGAGAGTAGGTTTAGTTTGGATATAGGAAGAAATTAATGCCTCTGAGGGTGCTGAGGCCCTGGCACAGGGTGCCCAGAGCAGCTGTGGCTGCCCCTGGATCCCTGGCAGTGCCCAAGGCCAGGCTGGACACTGGGGCTGGGAGCAGCCTGGGACAGTGGAAGGTGTCCCTGCCGTGGCAGGAGTTGGAATGAGATGGGCTTTGAAGTCCCTTCCAACCCAAATCACTCTATGATTAATTACACCTTCTGGTGAAAGACAGAAAATATGTGCTCATGCTTGGGTGAGAGTGTTGAGAACCATGAGTTGTGCAAGAATGCATAGTCAAAAAAACATCAGAGACTGTACACACCAAGCTTCAGATCTTATCTAATGCTGTCACATATTACAAAGGTGTATGTTTCTTTTCCTTAAAATAAATAACCAAACAAAAACATGCCAATTACCTACTTTCCCACAACTACACCACAAACTCACATTACTGCAAATATCTTGCTACTGTGATTTTAATACATAATCTAAACCAACCATTTCGACCTTGCTACTCATACATTCATCTGTGTTCCTGAAGATTATCTTCACATCTCTCTAAATTTCTAGGGGAAGCTTTTGTAGGAAAAAGCTATCCACAAACAAGAAAGATGTATAAGCACTCTGGACTGCTAAATAAACTTTCCTCCAAGACATCTTCCACCATTGCTTAAGACAAAAGCTCTCTTTCTACCCATGTCAAGGACAGTAAGCAAACCTGACATATATAATCCATTACTATCACACTACTAAGTAATTAAAATCAGTGTGTCAGGGCAAATAGACAAAGGAAATTGATGAAAATCACATTAAGATCTCAAGCTTGGCATTGGCTAAATTCTGAAATCTTGGCTTTGCAAACTTGGTTCTGATATTCAGCAACTGTAATGAAATATAACCTGTCCTATCATTTCTGGTAAAATGGCCAAGAATCAGAGCTGTCCAGCAATAGTTGTTAGTTCATTGAGGACAGGCAGAAAACCAGGCAGTCACAGAAAAAAACCAGAAGCTCAATACAAGAAAAACTTCCAAGCTTGTATATTTTATTAGATCTGAGGAAAAAAGAGGTCTGATGTTCCAACGTAGCTTGCACAAAGTTATACAGTAGTTTTGTCTATGCTAATAACCCAGAAAATGCCAACTGCTTCTGCTCACCAGTTAGGAAGGCAGAAGTAAATAAAATTCCCTAGCGTGGAAGTTACCAGCTCAGGAAGGGCAGTCTGATCTACTAAAGCTGCAGAACAACTCAACCTTTTTCTCACTGTTGTTCAGTGTAATTAAAGCTGGTTCATGTCCATGGGTGTGTGACACTGGTCAGCTGGCAAAGCCCAGCTATCCTGGCGTTGAGCTGCATTGCCTATTCCTTGGCAGGTTTACGTTTCTTCTACTCTTTAGAAAAATAAAAGGAACTGAAGGAAGGGGGGGAGGAGGTGACAAAATGAAGGCTGAAGAGCTGAAAAGCCTGCTGGCTGTATATGGAGATTGAATCATAACAATACAGATAAACTTCAGCTGCACTGGCAAGCATTTATTATCTCCCTATGGAGCTCTGTGGTTCTTCATTCGAGATTATTTTAGATTCCCTCATATTTTAATTTGTGCGTGTGAGAGAAAAGAAAAAAGAAATGGTATGCTAAGCTCTTATAATACTCTCCAGCTCTCAAGCTCCCATTTACAAAAGGCCAATATAACAAGAGATAGAAACTGAAGGAGAGAGGACAACCCTAGTATTCACGTGACCTTATTTGAAGTCTTATTCAGGTTTGGTCTCAAATAAACATGTCTTGGCCTCATGGATAATCCATACTCCAGCGTTTTTTCCTTAGGATTTCACTCTTTGAAATGCTGACATAGGTTTAGGTTTACATGCCAATTACTAGCTTGAATTGAATGACATTCTTTTCTGTAACAAGTATTTGCCTGGTTTGCAAGTTAACATGTATAGAAATCTCATTTCCCACCATAAAAAACTCAAGTAAGGCAATATAAAGGATGTACTAAATTCAAGGTCTATGAAAAGTCTTCTTCACCTTACTTCAATTTATCTTCACTGCACTATACATGTACAAGCCAACAACAACTTCAAACTTAGAAACACTAACAATATATATTTAAAGTAAGGATATGATCACAAGATAGCTGGAGGACTGAAAATCACCAGGCTGAATTTGTTCCTAGTGGTGAGTACATGCAGTTTCCCTTAATGCAATGGATAGACTACATTGCACCAGGAGTGAATTTAAATGCATAACTATGATGGGTGAAAATGCTTTTGTTCGACAACAAGAAAGGCACCTGCATCAACATAATTTATGCAGCTGTATGAATTTTTAATTCAGCTTGATTCCTGTTTGTGTTATTTTCTGTATTTAGCAAGAGTGCATCAAAGGAGGTTTCTGTCAGTTTGCTTTATAGATAGAACTCTACTTTCTTTTGCACTGCTGAGACAGTGAAATCACATTCTGGCTTAGTGTGATATAGAGTACGTGTAATATTGGCTCAGACTTGTGCTAGCCCACTTCTCAACAACTTCAGTCCTTGCCTGACATCTCTATTAAGAACAGTCAAGCTCAGCACAATGAACTGTGACCCAACAGTACGCTGGCAGCACAAGTGACTCAGTATCAGAATGCAAATACATCTCAGCATCAATCAATTCACTGGCTGTTCTGAGCCAGGTATTAATGGCTCTAAAGTTTCTAACAGGTGTGTATGAACAGAAATGAAGAAAGTAAAAGAATAGATAAGAAAGGTTTTTTATCTGTTCTTTTCCTTTCTTTTGCAAAACATCACAGAGAATTGGCTTAAACGAAAATAGAAACGTTTTGTATGAAGAAGGATGGAGTGTAACTCAGAGGACTGCTTCCTTTGTTTCTGCACGTATCTCCCATGCAGCCCTGGGTCTCACATTCTGTGTGGCAGTTATTCAACTGCATAATGCAAAAAACCCCATCCTGTTATCAGCTTTGTTTCTGAAGAGCAGAAACCCTTAAAACCAGTCTCTTACAACTCTTTCCTTAGTGTCCAACACAAAGGGCACTGCAGAAGAAAAAAGCTAAACAAACCCATCCTCACACAAAGGTGCTAAAGTGAAAAAAAGCCACGTTCTAAAATGCCAGGCATGGGAGAAGTAGAGAAATTTCTGCGAGAATTCAAGGATAAATGGTTCTTGGCTAGTTATTTAGAAGGCTAACTCATAATTGATATAATAATGTATTCCTTTTTCTTGGTATTTTGTAGCAAAGAAAATGCCATATTTACAACAGGTAAAACATCTATAGTACATATTAAAAATTGCCATTGAATCTCTGAATAAGTTAGCAAGTAACATAAATGAGGCCTTGATATCATGTTAAAAACAAATGCAAAACTGACTTTTTTTCCCTGTTTACCTATTTAACAACTGTAAATACACTGTGTGTATTTTGTCTACCTGTTAGTTAAGTACTATAAAAATAAATCATTCTCATGTTAGGTAATCAAGAAGTTTATGACTCAGATAACCACTACTTTTATAGATACCTGTTTACTTAAACCTGTTAACAGATATTTTCAGGATTGACTACATGTAGAAAATCCATAAAGAAATACCTCCTAAAATGGACAAGTATATTAAATTATTTTTAAAGCTAGATTAATTAAGAAGCACCATTATGCCTGAGCCCCATATCACTGATGGAGAAGCAAGCTAGGTCTTTCTCTCTCTCTGCAGTCAACAAGATAATTTAATTTTCAAACAACTAGGCCATTTAGGAGCCAAAGTAACAACAACACTGCTTAGGCCTTTATCCTAAGTCCCCAATTTTTACTTGGTGTATCAGTGCCCATTCCCCACTCCTTTCAGTGGTCCATAGTTACATACATATCTACATAAAAATGGCCCCAAATACACCTGAAAGTATGCGTCCCCACAGAAATTTCAGATAACGATTAGTTAACGCTAAGGACTGAAAAGCCTCTGACACGCTGAATACAAGAAAAAATAAGTTTTAGTCTTGTAATCTATCTCATAGTTGTTCAGCCCACTAAAGCCAATAAATTTGTATTCCCTGGTCTGCCAAAGTCTTCTCCTGAAAGAGACCATTTCAATTCATTTCTCAGCACTAAAATGCTACTTACGTATCTACGTAAATCTTTTAACTACGGGATGCTGTAGACATTACTTCTGCAGAGTATTTACATAGTATCTAAAAAGTAATTGCTTCAGTAGTCAGATGTTCTTGTTAACTCTAAAGAATTACGTAATAAAAGCTAAACATTACCTTGATTTCCTTCAAGCTTCCCAATTGTTTCTATCTGCTCAACAAGGTCATTTGAGTTCCACTGGCTCATGCCTATGAGAATAGCATTTTTTCCTTCCACCATCTCCTCTGTATGAGGAAAAAGAATAGAATAAATTGCTGTGACAAACAAGAGAAAAAAGACAGGGTGAGAACTAGCAGTGGAGAGAGAAATAAACCTCATTGGAGCCCCTAATGGGAACAGATAACAGGTTATGCAGGACTGTCCAGGAAAGCTTCTTGCCTATTCATACACTTTACAGTGATCCTCTATGTTTCATGGATTATATGCAGGAAAACATGGAAAAGAGGGGACTGTCTGAATCTTTTGTCTCTTGAACAGCCACTGTAAAACAAAGTTTATAATAATCACTTTGAGTGCTAGTGTGGTTGGTTGGTTTTGGGTTTTTTCTTATTTGAAGAACATTTAAAAGGTAGAACAGAGGGAAACACGGACACACAGACCAGTTCAAGACTTTTCAAGAATGTTTTTCCCCTTTTATCAAAGCCACCTGTGCTACATAAAGCCTTATATTTTCATCTAGGGGCACAGAGACATAATGGAATGGAACCAAGCCCACAACTCAGAAAACCATTCCTTTTACTGAGATCCCACCCAGGAAGTGGGGTAGGAAAGACTGAAAGCACAAAACACAACCTGTAGATAGATATTAACTCTCTTTTGTAAAAAACAAGCCCCAAACCAAACAAACCTAGAAGCTGTAGGAAAATATTTTCCTTCAATTTAACAGCTATTTGGCAAGTAGGGTGCATTAATATTTTCTGAATAAATTTACTCAAAGCACTTCAGCCTGGCTGGATACAACCCAGAATGGTCTTTGTACCTAGAGCGAGCACACAGAAAAAAATTAAGTAAAATAAGTAATGACAGTTTATTTGTTAAGGCAGATTTCAGAGAATGGGTCAAATTCTGCCCTCTATTACTGCATTTCATAGAGAGAATGGCTCTAATATATGAGTAAAACCAGAATAATTTAGCCAGGACATTTCTGGCTAAAATAACAATTTTCAAATACCTACCTTGCAGTAGGTCTCTAAATTATTTAAAAATTTATGTTCTTTCATGTTCTCTCATATGTACTCTCTTATTTAGAGATCTTGGTACTGGAGAAGGAGAAAGATGGATATGTATAAAGGAGTGTATAAATCACTTCACAGTCACCACCATATCTTATCTCTTCCAAAGTCATACCTTTTATAAACAATGATAAACATTATTTATCAGATTTATCAGAGAAGCTGGATCCAGCAAAGCCCCCGAGACCTGATGCAATCTCAGCTGCTCCCTGAGGCAGAGAGAATCAACCACTTATCACAGCATTTTGCTCAGGTTTTTGTCACTTTCTCTCAGAGGCTGATTTATTCGAAGCTCTATAAGGAAGGGAAGGAGCCATGGTGGTTTTGGTCTCTTCCCTCCCCACCTTAACAAGTGGTTTTAAAATACATCTGAGTATGATGAGTATTTTCAGGGATGTTTTGTGCTTAGTCCTTACTGCTGTTCCTCCTGCCGACTTTTTGAAGCAACAAGAAGTGTCTTGCCCCCGAGTCTCACACCAGCCCCTCAGTGCAATTGCACAAATACAGATGGAAAAGTGTGCAAATTAGCAGCAGTGTACAACAAACACAGCACCAAGACCTCCTGAAGGCCTAGCAGTGGCGAGTGTCTGGTTAACAGGTGTAACATTTTATCCACGAATAAAAATGGGAGATAATGGTTCTCTCCTGTAGATTTTGTTTTTCTGCTTTGTTCTTCTTGAGCAAAGTCAAACGTTGGCATTGGAAGACCAAGCAGCAGCAGCACAGCCCATGGCCCTTAACACTGGCAGGTGTGTGCAGCAGGCACAAAGACCAGTGAAAAGAACTGAAAACAAATGAGAGACATGTGCCTCAAGGCCTCTACTATGGAAGGTTTTTTTTCAGCTTAAAGGCTGTGGGGCAGGCATGTGGGGAGATCAGTATGGGGGTGTTTGCCTGTCTGTTGTGGAAGTCTGATGAAATGGCCAAATGGGAATGTGCTGGCTTCTCTGGGCAGCTTTTCAAACCTGAGAAAAAAATGTTAGTCAACCATGGAATTTCATATTCTGACAATTTTGTGATGATGTACTCAGCTGCAATTTTCATCTTCTGTAATCAGAGGTATGTTGCACTTAAATTATAAGGTAGTTTCCTGCATCAAATATAATTTTACATATTAACACTGTAAAATTCCTGCCTAACTTATGGCATGTCACATGGAAAGCAAGAAACAAAAGAAAGCCAGGCAATATAAAACAGTAAAACTAAATTAAGTAGTTAGATATGACAGATGAATCAACAGTCAAAACATGTACAGCTGCTTCATCTCAAACACAGGTGCTTGATTCTCTGCTTACAAGGCTGTCAGCCAGAAACTTCTTTGTTTGAAAAACTGAGATTTGACCCCAGCTGTTTTTCAAAATACAAAACCAGCTCGCTAATGTTATGTTTTAATGGTGCCGACTGCTGTGCCCACTGTTTCCTACTTCAGCCTGTCTCTAAAGTACAAATTACACATGGCTAGATGTGGGATAGATTCCAGACTTCCCCATGAAGAAAGCCCATAGTACTCAACTCCAGCTGCACTTTGCAGCTGCAAGAATATCAAACATTGATGAAGCACTCCATGTAAGTAACAGAGAATGGGTGAGAAATATAGGTAAGAAACACAGCAGAAAATGTTATGCTGGAGACAGAAAAAGGGTATCAGGCTACCTCATTTTTAGGAGGTGAAAGCCACAGTCTCTGTCCTGGACAGGCTTCCCCCACTCCAGCACGAACAAGCTTCTCTTGTTTCTTTGGTGCTAAGTTTAATCTACTGATAATGCCAATTACTTCAGCCCACACATATGTTTTCCTTTACCAAAGACACAAGCTCCCTTATCACCAAGAGAGCTTCTGAGTGTAGAAACGCCTTCTGCCTCTTTTGCTAGTATTTATGCTTCTGTGTACATTTATTTTCCTGACATTTAAGCACTTATTTCTGACAGCCTGTTTGGGAGAAAGCAGAGATGATGCTTAATTAGGAGGACCTATGCACTGCCTCAAGGGTAGCAAAGCGTTGCAGAGAGATCTGAATAGACCACAGAGCTGGGCAATCCCAGCCACATGAAATTTAACATGCACGAGTGCTGGATTCTGCACCTGGGATGGGGTAATCCTGGTTAGACATACAAACTGTGGGAGAAGAGAAGCCCCACGGAAAGAGACCTGAGGGTTTAGGTTGATGGCAAATTGAGTATGAGTGAACGGTGCATCCTGGCAACCAAAAGGGCCAGCAGTGTGCTGGGGTGCACGAGGCACAGAGCCCCAGGCACCTGAGGGAAGGTGACTGTCCAGCCCTGCTCTGGCACAGCCTCACTCGAGCCCCGTGGCCAGTTCTGGGTGCCGTAATACAAGAAAGATCTAAAGCTATTACAGGGCATGGAGAGGAGGACAACCAACATGCTGAAAGGCCTCAAGACCAAGATTTACGAGGAATGATTGAGGTCTCTCAGTTTGGACAAGACTGAGAGGAGACCTCACTGCAGGCTGCAACGTCCTCAAGGTGGGCCAAGGAGAGGGAGGTGCTGATACCTCTCTGGTGACCAGTGACAGGATATGAAGAAATAAACATCTATCTAAACAAAACTTGATTTGAAGAGCATTTTTGCAAGCTAACTATTAAGTAACCTAAACTTGGAAATACCTGTGTCAACTCAATATGGACTATGTCCAGCAAATTCCAAGTGCACTTCTTGTTCTCAGTCTACAAAGCATGCCTCACCAACTCCAAAAATGCAGGCATCAAACTGACCTTCAAAGTATTATTGAACAATGGATCTTGATGATTCAAAAGAATATTCCATCAAGCACTATAAGTAATCATACTCCCAAAGACAGAATACAGTCACATCAAAGAAAACTACGCCATCTAGAATGTCTGAAACAACATCATTTTAGTCCTCTTCTCGGAGAAAAAATTTGAAGTATGATTTGGTGCTCAAAGTTACAACTGCAGCTTCACATGGAATTTGGAAACATTGCTGAAATCATCAAGACAGCAATTTTAAGTACATTGCAAAACACAAATATAGTGCAGAGGAAAATCAGCATAGGGTGTATTTATTTTCTATTTCCAATTCTTCCACTCACTAAAACTGAAGATTTAAATGCAGCTTAAACAATTTGGGTATCCTATTCTCATTGACTACCCAGTGGGAAAAGATCACTATCTCTCATTCTCTTCATGCTAAGATGTCTCCCATGTACATTTAATTTTGATCCACAGAAGCAATTTATCACGTATTATTATCTCGCACTAAAAGTCTATTATTAGGGGATTAACAACTCAGTAACAGATGTTGTTCATTATCTTTACATAGCAGTGACTTTTCATTTCAAGTAACCATTATAAATATGATAGTGAATGTCATTACAAGCATTTCAGACTACATAGACTACTTTTGACAATAAAATTTATGTATTTAAAGAAAGCTCTTTCATAAAAAACAAGTGAAAGGTCTCAGAAAAGCCTAAGGTTTGGTTCCTGGAAACAGAACCAAAACCAGAGCCCCAGTCTCCCACTGGAGGTGGGAGATTGTGTATGCACATAACCTACAGATTCTTCTCCCACTTCGGGACAAAACTTGCCATGCTGCTGAGCATGTCAAGGTTCAGGGCCTCACAGATGATGCAGGGAGTGCTGCAGTTACCTCGGCTGGTTAGAGCACAGCTGGACTCAGTGATCCTTGTGGGTCCCTTCCAAGTCAGAATATCCTGTGATGAAATCTGCAGGCATTGAAATACTGCTCCTTGAATAAGCAGAAGTCCCAGTCCCTCCAAGCAAGTTTTGATAGAGTGGAAAACCTAATGTTTTGTCTTAAAAATTGGCCATCAGTAACATGGACACTCATAGCCTTTATCAGGAGCTGTGAACAAGAGCACTCCCATTGTAACCTCATACACTGTCTGAGCTGGGAAGGACCTGGGTCAGACCCCACGAGGTCTGCATTGGTGGTGTCTTGCTGCTTCTGATGCCAGACTCAGGGCAGCTCACTCATCCACCCCAGCACCTCACCAAACCCCTGTAAACTTAGGTCCATTCACAAACGCTGGATAGAAGAATTGATGGAGGTTTTGTCTGATGAGGACAGTTGTCAGTTCACCTATAAAGGAGCTTAGTTATGTGTTGCAAAATCGAGGGGAAAACTGGGGAGGGGAGGACAGAAATGTGTACTCACCCCGTGCATCAAAGAATTCATCATCGGAGCTCTCCACAGAGTCTCTGAGAACGCTCTGCATGTGCCGTTGAGCACCACCAAATCGACATGGGCCAGCTGGAAACACAAGGAGACCCACATTAACACAAGGGAATGCCCATTTCTGCTCCAGAAAAGGTCCCGACACAACACATTAATGAACAGTTTGTGTAGGTGCCTCAGGAGGATGGTCATCACGCACACTTTAATCTCAACTGTCAGCCAGCCAGAGGGCTCAGGATGGCAAAAAAATATTTCCACTTAACCAAAGTGATTAAACCAAGTTTGTCTTGAAGATAAGCCTGCATTCACCTAATGCAGCGACCTCAAAAGATAAATTCTTTCCTGTTGAATTCATCCGACTGTTCCATTCCAACACTCAAATTGAACATTGCTTCTAAGACACAAAGCAGCATTTCCCCCGGACACAGCAGTAGCTCCCACTCAAATTCAATCTAACTCCTAAAAGAAGTGCCATCTTATTTGGCTCACAGATTTGCAGACAAGCTACTCAATTCTCACTCACTGGACTGGTTTCATCAGAGAGCTTTGCTGTGCTGGAGCCTGGGGCTTTCATTTGAAGCTTGCCATTTGAAGACAGGAAGGCAAAACCAGATTAGAATAGGTACAGTAACAGATATATTCATGACAGCTTAGATGGTCCTAATGGATTATCGTACTCAAACTCATTTGTAGTTAGTAAACCAGATTTGTCTAAATATCTGAATTCTCCTTACATTTAAGCAACCCAACACTAGAAAGAAGTAGTGAAATATATTGTTTATATTAACAACAAAGACAATTCCCTGGAGAAGTACTGCCACTAGCCTGGCTGAAAACCAGTAAAAGTATCACCCCACAAAAAAAGCTCATGGTTCTAGGGGCCTTTGAATTTGATGTAGAATGTGAAGGAAGGACAGGGAAAAGTGTCACAAATATTCAGGCATAAATTCTGGCTGTGAGAGATCTTGGGAGCATCCATTTTATTATATTTCACTTGGAATGCTTCTAGATTTAGAAGCAGCTTAAACATAACCACAGTCAGCAGCATAAATCTGTGTAAAGCTCTCTGCAACAGCTCTCCACATCTAGATTGATTTGCTGGCTAGACTGCATTGCATTGCCCTAATACATTGGTCCTATTGAGTCTGCTTCCTTCTGTGCCAGCAGATTAGCATTAGACACCTTCAGAGGACTTTATTAACATTTCTTGATTTTATTAGACACTGGCATTGCCTGGACTCACTGATTTGATTTACACTGTCAATTGCTGCATATTTTATTTTATAATTTTGCTTCAGGGAATTAAAAGACCAGCCCTACTTCAGAACACAGGTGAACTCCTTGGTAATGACACTTTATGGTCTATGGCAATGAACTTACCCTTTATCAGATCAGTCAGCTGACTCTTAGCAGCCAGATTTCAGAAATTTTTGCACCCAGGGTAGAAACTTTCATTTCATTTCAGTTGTTTGGTATCACATTTCTGATCAAAGAAGGGGAAAGCATGTAGAAACGTTTTGAACACTACACGACCAATGTGCGAGTCACCATAGCTGAACTGGGAGCACATACAGTAGCTCCCCATAAGCTGTCAGGGCAGCATGACAGAGGGACAGCAGGATATAAGAGTAACATTTCCAAGATGTGGAAGAAGAGGGCATAGAAATGCACACGTGCTTTTCATCTAGAAGAAGCAGAAGTAAAGTTTCCTATCTAACCTGCTCTCTCTGCACAGAATTCTAAGTTGTGACAGTCACCTGCCACAGAGGGAGCTGGCAGGGGCTTGCCCTGAGCACAAAGCCACAGTAAAAGCTAGGGAGAAGACAAGAACAGAGCCATCCCTGCAGCGCCATGAACAGAAGCTGAATGCTCTAGTTAGGCTAGCATCAACTGTAAGTAATTGTACTTAAGATTACAATCAGAGATTTTCCTCAGTTAAAAAAAAAAAAAAAAATCTTGGTTTTTTTTTCTTCAACAAAGAACAGCTGAAATTTCACTGGTACCTTGCTGCATCAGTGACCTGGTGACCTGTCAGGAGGTGCTGTGATGAATGTTGGATATTGATTTCCTTACCCCTATGCATAAGGAAGGATCACAACTGAAATCTATATTCTGCACGACAGCTTCCATAAGGGGAAAACCCACAGATCACGATCAGCTGCAACCTCTTGTGATAGGCAGCAAAATAGCCAGAAATTTATTTGACTAAAAATTGCTACAGAAATAGTTCCATGTTCTATTATGCAACACTTGCACTTTGGTTGAAGGCAAGTCAGACTGCACCTCTGTACACGTCATCCTAATTCAGATGCGAGGCAAATTTCATCCTTGGTGTTTAGTGACTGTACATAATTCCAGCAAACAGCAGAAGAAACAGTTCCCACTCACATATCAGCAGCTTCTAGCGTTATCCACCCAGAGAAGGAACAACCCACTAAAATGATGCAATCTCTGACATGTTCCACAAATAGACCTAAGGAGCAGAACAGTCACGGAAAATGCCAATTCCACTTTCACCCACAAACACCAGCAGGGCTCATTCCACCATGGTTCCATAAGAACCCAACAACAGTTGAAAAGTATATATAAAAGAAGAATCAGATCCAGCTTCCTCTGGTCAGGAGGCATAAACTCAAATTCTTTCCAAAGATGTCTCTTTTTTTTTTTTACAAACTGGCAACGATATGACAATTAAGCAGTGCATGAGCACATTTTGTCCCATGTGATATGAGGGTGATTATAAAAGAGAAAAAAAAAAAAAGAAGAAAGAAAAAACTCAAGAGGAAATAAAGTGACCCTACTGGTCTATTGCAAACATTCTCAGGACTAAGGAAATGGAAACAGAAAAACAGACAAGAAGTGAAGTAAGGCTGAAGAGGCTCTGAAAAACAGTTTAAGAAGCAAAGATTTTCCTCTGGAAACTGAATAGCTAATGCTGTCGATTCCCAACTTTAATCACTTTCCTATATCGGCTGGAAGGCCTGTTGTCCAAAGCACACTCATCCTGTAGGTCTCAAGCATCCTAAGACAGAGCAGCTCACCACTGTCACTCAATAGTAAGCACATGTTCTCCTACCAGCTTCAATATTACTTGTTAAGCAAAGGTAGTGTTTAAAATGCATACCAAGTCAGGAGAAAGAAAAGGCATCTACTTTCCATTTCCATTTCCATTCCAGTAACTGGCATCAATTCTGACATCACAAAGCCACACCATACACTGCAGGTCCTTAGGTGGAATATACCTGGAGGTGAAATGTGTGGAGAGCACAAGAATATCTTCTGGAAAAAGGAAGGAACATTTTCCTGTGGAAATGATGTCCTCTAAGCACACCTTGCCAAGGCACAGGGATTGAATCTGCTACTGGATCTAATGAGCAGAAAATTAATTTTCAAATGCAGCAGGAAGTAAGCCTAGCCCTGCTGTGAAACCACAGCCATGTTACCTTTCTTCATTGGTTCTGCCTTCTCCTCATTTTGAAATAGCTTTTAAAAACACTTACTGCAACTGAAAAAAAAAAAAACCAAACCATTACTGGAGTCATCACATCACTGTTTACAGAAGCACTTCACGAGCAGGACCAGCACATACACTTTGGGAATGAAAGAGTAGTGATTTCATTCCTGAAACATACTTGTGAGGGCAGAGTAGCAGCACAGTAGGCTCAGTCCAGCAGCATCAGTTTAAGAGTCACTCCAGCACTTCCCTCTTCTCCTTACCAATGCACAGATCACTGCAGACCTTGTCAGACAAGCAGGACAGATGGAAAGGAAGCAGGATGACCCAAATGATGAAAGCAAGCAGGATGACCAGTCATACCAGCCCCTTATGTCCTGGCAGCATCACAGGCGGCTTCCAGAGGCCATCCCAGCTCAGGTGTGCTCACACCAGACTTGCCAGGAAGATGCATTCAAGCAGCTTGGGATAATAGCAGCAGTTTTCATTGGATGCAATTACATCACTGGGCTTTACTGTAAAACTAATTCAATATTATTCACTTCACTGTCATATTATCACAGATTTCAAGCTTGCAGCAGGCCTTTTTCTACATCTTTTGCTTGGTAACATTTTCCAATTTCCAATCAAGCCCAGACATAAGCACATACCAGAAGACAGAAAATCATAAAGAAAACACTCCTGAATACCAGCACCACACCTAGGCAGAGATGAAATAGCACACAGTGTTCTCATAGCTACTGGAAACTCAGTCTTTCACACAAACAAATATTGAGGACTGAATTAATTTCAACTAAAACAATAATTAAAAATAGACTCTATTACAGAGATTAAAACATTTCCACTCGTCAAAACTTGTTTTAGAATTGAACCACTTTGAATTCAGGGGCAGTTTTCCTAACAAAATTAAAAAGCACAAGTCATTTTCCCATTTGGATAGAGATGCTGGGTAGGACGAATGACCTTTGCTACTGCTACTGACTGCTGTTGCATAATAATACTTCTGTTTTGCTGGTTTCAGATGCTTCTTGCCTATTCATTAAGCGATTTAACTGAGCTACCCACACATAGTGACTATGCAGTTAAGACTTACTGGAGGTCAAGTTCACCCACTATTATTTTCTAGTTATGTTTTATATCTTATTTGGAAAACATAAAACTGAAGATATACATTACAGGGATGTCAATTTAACTACTGGAGGCACTCCCAAGATAGAGGGAGATGCTGATCAGATGAAGTCCTTGCCTGCACACTGACCACCAAAAAAGATGGACCATATAATCATTGATAGCAGGGCCACATAGAACTCATGCAAAATCACAGAATGAATCTGCATCAGAGACTGGAACTGAAATGAAAACAGTTGAAGCTGAAGTGAAACACACTCAGTGGAAGTGGCTGAGGGGGGACATAAGGTGGGAGGCCTACAAAACTGTGAGGCTAAAGGAGGAGAGGGAGAAAAATAACAGTGGGAGGTGAGAGGGAGGGCAGAGAGAACATAAAAGGCCAAAGGGGATGGAGACGAAAAAAGTGGAAGATGAAGTCAAGATGTCAACTTCCCTTGTCAAAACACAAAGCCAGACATAGCCACAGACAGAAAAAAGTCCACACAAATTGCAGGTCCTCTTGTCAAGAAGTGAAAGACCTAACTGATGGAGCAGTCCAGATGCCACTGTGGTCAGAAGTGCCCAACACATCCAGCTCCTCTCTCCCATTCCTCATTCAGTGCCTTTCATCTCACAGCAATTCCATAGCGAGAAATCCCTGGTTGTCTTCTCTGTATATCCCTCCACTGGTAGTTCTGCAGCAGATGGTAAGGATGGGCATGTATTTGAATACTGGATAAAGGAAACAAATCAAGAAACTAAGCCATGCAGGCCTTTAAGCCCCTATTTTAAGGTACCAGTAACATTTGCAGTCTTGCACTTTACAGGATTACTAGTGAGGTGGAAGAAGAGAGAAAAGAGGTTTAACAGGACTGTTCAGACTTCAAATCCTAGATCAAACTTTCCTGTAAATACTGTACATCTCCCATAGCTGTTTCTTGATGCTACAGATGCCAGCTTCCCCACAGCAGAAATCAACTTCACCCTCCCTCTCAGCAGTGTCATCACCTCCTCCAAACTGTCTCCCCAAAACCCGAGAAGATATGAATATTCTCTAATCTTTTCCTGCAGTGACTGTAGGTGGACTGCCTGCAACACATCTGAAAGTCTCTACTTTCATAGTGCACAGATTCTGGCTTTCTGAGGAGGCTCTGGCATTTTTGAGTTGCTGCGCTCTGTTAAAAATTAAGTCAGAGTTGAAGAGCAGATACTCTACCACTCCCACAGGAACACGCCGGGTAATGATCCACAATTGTCTCTGTGTGGTTTTACAATCAACACTCTTGCAAATGCCCAAGCGTTTCTGCACAGGGACTACTTCAAATGCTTAAGGTCTGGAGTTGACTAGGTGAGGTCTGGCTACTCAAACGAGTCAAGTGTGGACCATGTCTAAAAGCCCTTTAAAAGCACACCTGTCATTCAACAGTGAGCAAACAACACATTTCCACTACAATTTTGGCCTTCCTTTCGATTTGAGGTAAGGCTACAGCATTGGCAGGGGCTGCAAGGTAGGATACATACAAGCAAAACAACTTTTTTATATTTCTCCATATTGCAGCTCGCATTGATAAACTTAGTAAGCTCAATTTATAAAAGCAGCATTTTCCCTATGCCTAGACCAGATAGTTTCTTCCAGACCCCCTTTACTTTTCTTTGCAATAAGTAGTAACATCACAAAACTTCTTTCAAAATACATACTTTGTCAGTGAAATCACATCCAAGACAGACAAGTACTATGCTTTAAAATTCCTGTGCAAAATTGTATTTGAACATACAAACTATGTATGCAGGCTGCATTACTCATCTATCCCAGAAAGCAAAAGCTCTCTTATCTTCCTATCAAACCTAAAATGACTGCAAACGAATGACAAAGAAAAAAAAACCATGAGACTTTTCCCCCATTTGATTCCTTCTTCATCTTCCAAAGATGAAGTTCAATCCTGTATTTGCATCCTCTGAAATAATTAACGCTCTCATGTTCCTGAGTGTTACATCCCTGGGCTGCCACCAATCCATGTTTATTTTGGGGAACTAAAGAAATAAACAGTGCTGAAACAAACCACCCTTTTGGGTTTAGCTTTAATATAGTTATGCTGCTGTAAAGCTGCGTCCAGACCTGGCACCGAACACCAGGCAAGTGTCACATACTGACCATTCAGTCATAGCAGTTAGGCCTTCAGCTGCAACAGCAATGGCTCTGCATGCAACCTAGAAGAAAACCACTTCTGCATCAGCAACCGCACTCTCATCTGTTCCGGCCTTCGTGCACACAGAACATCTGCTGCCTCAATCAGGCTGCACCTGCCCCGAGCACGGGACATCAGGGTGCTGCCGCTGAGCATCCTCAAGCCCTGGTCTCAACCTCAGCCAACCGACCTCCAAGCTCCACACCCCTCGGGCTCCAGAGGAAGCACGAGTTACGTGAATGGGCAAGGCGCAGCGCAGGATTTCGTCAAATTCCACCCAACAGCACACCTGTATTGTTCTCCGACCGCGGCTGCTGCCTCCCGGTCTGCTCCTCCCGAGTGGGCGGCAGCGAGCACCGCCCGACCAGGCGGCAGCCACGGAATTGCCCCGGAGCCGGGAGAGACCCTTCCCGGACCGGCAGCGGCGGAGCGCGGGCAGGAGGCCGGGCAGGGCCCCCGCACACCCACGGCACGGGCAGATGCGGGCGCCGAAGGCAGAGCGGGCCGTGCTCGCTGACGACGACGACGACGACGACGAGGTCAAATGCACCCGCGCCTCGTTCACACGAGTTCACGTTCAGCTCCGCGGTGCCGCCGGCGAAGGACGCGGAGACGGAGCTGCCCCGGCGCCGCGGGTGGGCGGCGAACGCGCCGGAGCCTCATCCCCGCCGCGCCCCCGGGGCCCCGCGCTCCCCTCGGGGCCGCCCCAGCCCACCCCGCCCCGGGGGCCTCGCTCTCCCCTCAGGACTGCCCCATCGCGCCGCGCGGGCTCAGCGCTTACCTGGGAGAGGAGCTTTCGCCATTTCAGGGCTGCCCGCTCGCAATCCTCAGCCGTGTCAGGTGCTCGCCCGCTGGGCGCTCCGGCACCCCGCTCTCCGGCGCCCCATCGGCTTTCAGCAGAGGCCCCGCGCCGCCCCCTTGCCTGCGGCGCGGAGGGACGCGGCCGGGAGAAGCCGCCGCCGCCCGGTGCCGCCCGCCCGCCGCTAAAGGCGCAGCCGCCGTCGCTGAAGGCGCAGTGAGCGGCTCCGCGGAGAGCGGGGGCCGGGCCGGGCCAGCGCGGGGACGTGGCTGCGCATAAACGGCCTGGAGAGAGCGGCCGCGAGGTGCGAGCAGCACCCCGCCCCGGGCAGGGGCTCGGCGGAGGGTCTCGTCCCGCCGCTGCCGGCAAGGACCCTCCGCCGGGAGCTCGCCTCGCCCGCTGCCCTCACGACACGCCTCCCGGGGAGGGGTCGCGGCTCCCCCGCCGTCTCGGCGCCCCTCGGAGCTGCGAGCGCGCAGAGCAGGAGGGGCCGAGCCCCGCGCCGAGCCCCGAGCCCGGCCCGTGCTGCCGGGGCGCGCACGGCTCGGCTGCCGCTGCAGCGCTGCCCCTGCCAAGCCGCTCTGCAAGCGGCTGCTCTGGATTTTAACAGCCAAATTCCTCCGGGTGTTGCCAAGCCCCGTGTCAATGCAGTGGCTGAACTGCAAAGCTGCCTTTTTAAGTCAGCCATAGGCAAAAGTGGCTTAGAGTCTGCTGAATTACGGAACTTTCAGGGTCCGTCCCTCTCCAAGAGGCTCACTAGCAGCATGTCTCTAAAAGTAGAGAAGCTAACTTCTCAGAACCCCCAATAATGGGCAGAAATTCACTTAAGGGATGTCTTAAGTCTCAGCCCTCCTTGTAGAAACGATGGGAGGAGGCTGGCAGAGAGCTTAGGAGGGATTGTATGTTATTACAGTTTGTCAGAACACTACGAGACAATGGGCAGTGAACAAAATTTTGCCCCCAAAATCCTACAATTACAGAACCAAGCAAGCAGGTCCTAAAGCAATTTGTTGGCGCTGGGCCGACACCACCTTCATAGATATAATACATGATTTGCTAGGGGTATTGCTTAGCAGCTCGTTCAAGAGCCACAGCAAATACCCCTGAGAAAACGGCGAGTTAAGTGGTTTTGCTTGAGCCTTAAGCGGAACAGCCAGAACACTGAGCAGTTCCCACCTCCAGAGCCAGCTGCAAGTAAACTGGTTCACCTTCCCCAGCTATGGGTGACAGTGCTACTATATGGTGCAGTTTACCCTCGACCCACATTGCTTCTGCCGTTGGACACAATTCCTGTTTAAAAGATTTGAGAAAGATTGCTTTCCCAAAGGTGCTAGTGCCACTAAGCTACCAAAGAAAGCAGGCCTAGAGAAAGACCATGGATGTACAGAATCACAGAATATGCTGTGCTATTCCAAATGGATTCAGAGGGAAGTTAAATTAAAACTGTGTTCAGTGATAGTAAGTATTGTTTATTAAAAAACAAAACATCTTCAAAATACTTTCACACACATATACACATAGCAACACTACTGCTTTAATATGTTTTACTTAACAGAAATCAGCTGCTTTAAATTACAAAAATCACGTATCAGCAAAGTCCCACTTTAGCAGTAACATTTATATCATTACATTTGATGTAAATTTGAAGATGATTGAAACAGTAAACCAGGCTTCAACAGAAACAAAAGTATTTTTAAAATATATGTTCTAATTAGAGGAAATAAAAATAATCTTAGAAGGTTAAAAATGAATGTGTTATAGACTGAACAATATTGAAGAAAAAAAATTGACAAAGGAAAGACACTGTCATGTTGTTCTTTGGGTTACCTCAAGGGTTGAATTTGTATTTCCCTAGTACACTACATAAATGATTATTACTCATTGCTCTGACTCCAGATATAATCCAAACTAGTGCCTTGCTTACTTGAAACAATTTAATGTTGCAGAAATGCCAATTGCTCATTTATTTTGATGCCCTTGATTTCAATGGGATTCTTAAGAGAAAGGAATGTGGGGTTGAACCACGAAATGCTGATAAAAATGTAACATTTTAGACTAGTTTAAGAAAAAGAAAGTAAGATCTCTATCACATGCTTCTGTTGAAGGTCTTGTTTTGCCTGGGCATTATGTACTAGAGGTACTCAGGAACACCACTCTGAAGCCAACAGCAAGAGCCCAAGCAAGCCTGCAACTACAGCCAGTGACAAGTGTTTGCATCTATCTGTGCTGGGCCATGAGAATCTTCACTGGATTGCCACATCCCCAAAAGAACTCACACTAGTGCAGCATGTGCTGAGGTGATTAGACAATCAAAGGAAAAGTAAGGAAGTCCTTTCTGAAAAAGAAAACATTATTATAATGGTTTTATAAAAAAACTAAGATGAATCTTTGATAGAGATCCAGTGCAGAAAGTCTCACAAATTGTCAGGCTGAGGCTGACATTGATGGGGCAGGTGGGAAAGAATTCACTGCACTGGCTGCAAAAACTCTGACGTGAATACAGCTTCTGCATAGTCCTCACAAACATCCTGCAGCTCTGCTGCCACATCACACAGGGCTTCTTCTGTCAGTTGCTCTGAAACACTAAGTGAAAGGGAGGGCAAAAAAAAGAGAAGGAAAAGGTTCAGAAAGTCAGATTTCAAATTTCAGTCTTTCACTTCCAAACCACAAAGATAATTCATATACCTCTCAGCAATCTGCCATGGATCAAAACTGCCCACTGCCTCATGGGAAATAAGCTTGAGATGATGCTTGTATCTGCTGTTATAATCCAAGATGCTCTGGAGCACATCCCTTGGCACACAGAGAGACACAGAACACGCTTTCTGTAGAGAATTCAGAGGCAAGGGCTGCACAATGTCATTTCCGGTCTGCAATTTCTTCTCTGCTGCTTTATTTTCATCAATATCACTGCAAATACAAAATAATCATCAAGACAGAAATAAATTTTTAAGTCTCTTTTTGAAGAAACAGTGCAATGAAAACACTATAATGAAGTCATATGGATCTTTTGCATCACAGTTTAGTGTAGGGCCAAACATTCTCACTTACGTGCTGTCAAAAGGTTTTCCAAATACAATGTCTGTTTCCAGCTCTGCGTGCCTCGTTAATTTGGTTATCTGAATTGGATGAGGAGATGTAAGTTTCTTAGCTGTTGATGCCATTTGTAGTTCTAGAAGGAAGAAAATACTATTTTAAAATATTTTTTTGAAAGAGAAAAACTACATTTGCTGCAGGCTAAGTCCTCAGAAAGACTTGTTTCTTTTAAGGGGGAGTCCTTCAGGTAAGCAAAGTATTCAAAGTGAGAAAAAACATAAATTCAGCTCAGTGTATTAAAGCTGAACATTCTAGAAATACTACCTTTAGTATATACTACCTTAGTATATACACTACCTTAGTATAAATAATTTGTGTTGCCAGTAGGTACTTCTGGCAGAGAGATAGAAAATACCACTGTGAAAATAACACAGTCTATTAAAGTGATAAATCCAAGACATGGAAAAAGAATCCATAAAGATTTGGGATAAATCTTCACCAGTCTTACTGTGAGATTTTCCAACTTGTGTTAAACAACAGTTTCAGTCAAGTTGTATGTGATCCAATGGAAAATCAATGTAGCTTCACTGTGCTACTCAATCAAACCATAGGATAAAAAAAAAGAATGCTGATAAAGTATTGATTTTAGAACTGCATCTTAGAAACTGTCCTCTGAAAGAAGCACCTATGGTAAAAAATGTGCTAGTGATGCTATTTGATCACACATAATCCAATGACCTTGATTTCAAAAAACCTGAATTTAAACCTACAGATTATAGGGAAACCAAGTCATATTAAAACAGACAATTACCCATTTTGTCTTCCTGGGCCCAGAACTGGGAGTCACTGTAGACAATCTGGGTGACTCTCCTGCGGACAGCGTCCTGGTACATCTGTGGTGGAACACACAACAGCCCTCAGTCAACCAAGTACCTGGCAGCTCGCTGGACTGGTCATCACTAACAGCAAAGCAAGTCATGATCCTCCTCGGGCAAAGCAGGCTTATTTTGGCTGGTAACACAGAAAAGGGGTGAGGGATTAAAAACTCAGCCATCTACCTTGTTCAAACTGCCATACTAGAATACAAAACTAATTGCCAGTCCCAGGGGAACTCCTCCCATTTCAGACCACCAGCCCTTAGCCAAACAACTGAAGGGTCCTCAAGCTGCACCAGCCTCACCAACAGTGAATCCAAATGTGTGCTCCAGTGCCTCAGGGACAAGGACACTGCAGCTTCACACTTCCAACCGATGGACAGATCTCTAGAAGTAAATGGCACTAAACCCCGCAGTATTAAGTCACAATAAATTTCAGAGAACAAGAAGGTCAAAATGGAACTCAAACCAGAAACTATGACAAAACACATCGATGAAAACTTTTAAAGAAAGCAATATATGAGAAAGCTCCAGTCAAGTAAATCATAACCTTATGAATATTTATATAGAAAGATGAATAAA